GCCGGCACTTGCCGCCATGCCCTAATATTAGAATCAACTTTGCCTAAAACCTGCAGAAAACCATCAAAAATCAACAAACCGCCAAACAAGCTTTTGAAGCAAAACCTATGACATGAGGCCACAAGCCATTATAAACACACACAAAAGCAAAATCGCCGCTGTGAGGCCAGATACCTCCAAATTGTTGAAATGGAGCCCCAATGATGCAGCATCATCAGCGTTATTAGGGGTCGTTCCCCCAACCTGAAGTCTTCCGGCACCCCCTCCGACCTGCAAAAATTGGTGCTCGGGCCCAGGCCTCGGGGGCTAGTTTTAAAAAACGTTCGTGCTCGTGATTTTTTGATGAGTTCTTATGGATTCCAAAAACCCATCAAAAACAACCATCTCTGTGCCAGGGGGATTTGCTTTTGGAACGCATCTAAATTTGAGCTTGGCTTGGGGGTGGGTTCCGGAAGGGCCCCTTGGAGAAACAGAGGTCCAATGATGCAGGGTCGGCAGCATTGACTTCCGCTCCATGGCGAAGCCAGGGCCAAGGGCTGCCGCCGCTGCGCCGACCCGGCAAAGGGGCATGGCTGCTGTGTGGTAAAACACGGCTGTGTTCAGTGTCCCATCCAGCGGAATAATTAGACCAGGCGCTGGCCATCCCAGCACCCAACACTTGCATGGAGGAATATTGGCATCGTAAGGCACAGGTGCTGAACAAAGGAGGGGAGCCATACTGTATCTTTCCTCAAAGTACAGCAAGATGTTGAACTCTCTGACTAAGCATTTGCTGATCCGGGATTGGGCGCACACATTGATTTCCTCGACTTCGCTGACCCGACCCCTCTCCTGATCCCCTTTCGCCCATCCTGACCCTCTCCCCTCCCCCCTTGATTTTTTTGTCTTCGTATCCGGCGAACCTTTCCTGAGCCATCCCCCCCTCCCAAGGCCAGGGTCGGCGGATAAGCAGTTAATAAGAGGGTAATAAGGGGGTGATAGGGGCTGACAAGGGATCAGCGGGTGGGACATGGGAAATAGCGGGGAAATCAGGAGGCAGTAAACGGGTAATAAGGCGGTAGTCACACAAACGCCGAGAATTCTTAATTAGTGTGTGATAGAAGGTGAATAAGAACCCAATAGCTGGATAATAGTAAGTAACGCAAACAAAGGAACACCGGACAAGCAAGATGCTTCCCCTTGCACATTACTTTCTCAGCCTTGTGGCAGCGGTGGGCCAGGGGCTGGGCCTGAACCATGTCATGTTGATCAGCCAGCTGGGCTCAAGACAGTTCCCGGAGCTCCTTCGCAACCTGGAGGCCCAGACTAAGAGCAGGCTACAAGTTTCTCTGTGCCCATCCTGTATATGTTGAGGTAGCCCGTGTCAATGGTATGACCTTTTAAGCCAATCAGTCACTAGTGCACCGATCTAGAACCTAGATGATTGAATTCTAGGCGCGTATTGTTGGAGCTTTCAATTTGGACCGTGATTGGAGTGGTAGTTGTGCTTGCCATGTGAGTGTTCCTCTGGATGGCACTCATACACGATTAGCAAGGCCAAACTAGGAAACCTTTGATCACCAGTCATTTGGGAAGGCCTGGAGATCATGTCGAATGCCAAAGAGAGGGTCTTTCATGCTGCGAACCTTGACGCCGTCAACGCCGCGCATCCCCACATGGCAAGCCTGGCAAGCTTTGGATTTTCTTTGGCCATAAGGCAAGCGACATTCACATGATCTCGGCTCACCCATGTCTACACTCGCAGCTGCTTTATTCAACTCGAGTGTTTGAAGTTGTGAGCTTCCATTGGGTGTGCACTGCGGCCGGACACCGTAGAAGAGGGCCGTGATGAAGCTCCCCAGCAAGCTAGCACATACATGCGTGGTGGTTCTTATGATGAAGTTCTGTGGACAGAAAATGGGGAGTGAACTTTAGTTTTGTGTTCAGAAGTCGAGGCTCAGAAGAGCTCCGAGCACCTCGTGGACTGCCCTGAGGCCAATCAAAACCAAAGTGCAAGTGTGAACAGCAATTGCCCTTTCGGCCTTGTTGGCAGGTGCAGCGCGTTCAGACGCAGTTTTTCGACCGAGTGGCCAGGCCCCCAGCAGCAGGAAAGGGACTGCAAGCAGCATTGAGACTACAGAGCGACAGCCATGATTTGTTTGTGCATGAGGTCTCAATACGCTTCTTGGAGGCATCCTGTGGCTACGGATGTCTTCTTTTCTGGTTGGTGTCATTCCAGTCGTCTGTCGTAGCGCTTCTCTGAGGCTTATAATACTCCGGTTTTCCGGAAGACCAAGCGCCAGCCTTTCATTAGCTTGCGAAAGACAGCAGCCAACTGCAATGTCATCGCGTACAGAGCATGCATGCCAGATGTTACTAGACTGGTCGCCAAGGAGGAATGACCTCGCGGAGAAGTGGGACAATCTTGGATTTTCCATCCGTCCCCTGAACGGACATGTCAGGCATCTTGGGTCAAGTCAGGCATCCATGCGACGCATGCCCAATCCACACTGAAGCAGGACTCACACCTGTACAACTGCTGTGTGCAAAGGTATACCTGGTCTGATGGAAATTGGGACTCCGGAGTGTTTGTGCCCGCTCCGTACCAGCTCATGCACATCAATGCAGGACTTCCGTCCTTCTGGGTACACAACTGCTTTCTGAAATGTTTGCTCGGATTCCTGGAAAGGTTTAGGCAAAGGACTAATGCAACGCGACGATGCGGGGCAATTTGATGCTGCAGCGAGGATACTGTTCACGATCCTTGAGAATGCCAGGAGCTTTGCACTACGGGGTGTCTTGCTTCGAAGGCATGAAGGCCGAAGACCTGCTGTTGGTTGATACCAGCATCAAAGAGCGGGTGTTGGTGCTGTGGAAAGGCCTTCTCCTGTAAAGACGGAAAGATCCGGTTGCTGAATCCGGAGCTCAATGCCAAGCGAATGCAGAAGGGTGCTGGTGCTTTATTGACCCACAGCAGCAGTGTAAGTATTTTTGAGAGCCTCAGGCGCCACGCAGCAGGCTCCAACACCAGCATGGCATGCCAGTCACCTATATGTAGCTTGATAGCCGACCTGCAGGCCTAGCCCCCTGCCACAGATTTGTTTCGTTTGCCTGAATCCTGCAACAGAGTTTTGCTCTTGCTCAGAAGTGCAGTTGAGCGAAGGATGCCAGAGGTGCCCACCGACATGTTTGTGACAGCAGTCATGGAGGCTGTGCAACGAAACAAGGAGTTTGTACCTCCCTATGGACACCCGGCAGATACGTAATGACAAGCACGAGTGTTATCCTCCTGCATTGGCAGGGCAGAGATATGTTGCACTTGCCAAGGCAACAATGCTTCTATGTATGTGCGCCCTCTCCTTTTTGCCAGCGGGCAAATGCTGGGCCTGGCGCCTTTAGCCAACGAGTACACGTTCTTTGTCACAGTACTTCCGGCCGGGGGATATTTCGGGAAAGGCAGCGAGGTGGGCGTCAAGGCAGGTTCTGACACAGCATCCAACAGATCTCTGACAAGAAGACTAAAGATTCTTAGATTGTACAATGGGTTCTGTGGTCCTGCCTGAAGGATTGTGTCAAGGTCCAGAAAAGCTTTGGCAAAGTATGCCATGGCTTTTATCGGTTCATTTTGTTAGCGTTTGGGCTTGCAGAAATCAGTTGAAAGTTTTCAAGGTTTCTCTTTCCAGGGTTGGGGTTGTTGGAGGTTAGGCTTGGGGGTGTTTGCGACTATGTTGGTTTATGGATTCGCGGCATTCAGATCCTGTTTTAAAGGGTTTGCAGTTTGGTGGTGGGCATGTAGAGACTTTCGGGCACCAACGCATGTTTTGATCTTGGGCTTGGGGATGTACTGGCATTGACGGAGTTTGGATTCTGCTGCAGGATTTGGGGTTTAGAGGCTATTGGCTTTGTTGGTGTTCAGGCTCTGAGGTTCGGGGTGGTTTCAGCGTCCGGTCTGTCAAAAAGACCTACCCTGGACTTATCCAGCATTTGTCCATGCTCCTGGGTGTTGTAAGCATGCCTTCGTCGAAAAGCTTATAAAATCCTTTGATGATGCTTTGCGCGGCCCTCGACATGTGGCCCCTATAGAAGATCTTGAGAAGGTGCATGTGTTTCAGAGCGCTCTGCTTTTTGTTGTTGTTTGCCCGACATTTCACACTTAACTTGGCCTGCCTGCTGCGCACAGAAGAGCAGCAACGGGGCACACTGTGTGGCTGCATTTCTTGGTCTTGTGGGTACCGCGGGTACTGTTGTGGTGTTGCAATTGTCCCTCAAATCTCGTTCCGGTGTTTGACCTTGTCCTTTGCAGAAACCATGCGAAATGACAGTTTTGTTCAATGCCTGCCTTGAGACACCTTGCCAATGTTTAGACATGTTTGGAACGTCCTCTCTTACGTCAAAGAGGAGCTGATCAACTTCAGGCATATTCGTTCGCGAACCTCTCTGACCAGACGCGGGACAATCGCCTATGACAGCCTTCATGGCTGGAGTTGAGGTAGTTACCCAAACCTCTGCTTGCAAGATCACTCGACTGGGGAAGACTGCGCAGGTAAACCGAGGCACTGACAGCAAAAAAGCGGGAGAAATGAACACATTGCAATAGAGGGAAAGCCATACTCAAAAGCAAGGAAGAGAACCGACTTAGAAGGTTCGGTTATGTGAAGTGCTCTATGAAACTTATTGCCAGAGCCAGCTTGGGCTAGGGCGAGAGATGGCGAGAGATTCATTCAGTCACCTGGCGGCTGGACCTGGCGGGCGAAAGGAATCTTCTTGGAGCATCTAGATTTTTTGCCTGCTTTTCATTCCTTTTTCTGCAATGTCTCTTCTGCGGCAGTTTTTAGTTCTCCTACTCTCAAAATTACTTGCTAATTTTCTGTTCCTCCAGCAGTAATCAAAAAGTGTGATTTTAGTCGTTCTGATTATCATTTAGATTTCTATCTCATGCTGATTCTTCCCTTTTCTGGTTTCTGGTTATGTTTACAGACAGGGGCTCGGGAAATCCCATTCAGTGCACACAGCAGGCCTCACGAAAGATCCAGTTCAAGTCCGCTCACTGAGGGTTTAGGGTTTGTTCAACTGACTTGTTGTGTGCAATCTACCGTGCAACAACCTCAATTGACCAGTTCCCCCGAAGTCGCAACGTTTACGTCCTGCAAGCATGCCGAGTGCAACACAGCATCAGTTTAAGACCAGGCTCAAATGCTGGGCAACAAGAATCTGAGCATGTACAGGTTTAAGATCATGTTGTAAGGCTAAAGTAAAGCATTCGCAGTGGGCATCAGGGTCAGGAATACGGAATCCGGATTTAGAATGACGTCTTCGTGCGTAGGTTTTGTGTTTTGCCAGCTTAGCTTATGTTAGGTCGGGCCAGGGTGGGTTGCCTTGGGCTGTACGCATCATCTCTGCAAAAAGTGCCGGCTTTACTGCATTCAGCCGGCGGTTCCTCAGCATGTCATGTAGAATTTTTCTAGGAGCAAGGGTCACACGGCATGAAACGCCGCGAGGAAGTGTGCATGCTTTTCTTTCGGTTTGGTGCTTGGGAGGGGTGAACTGGAGCGTGGACGAGATTTGGTGCTTTGACCATTTGTTATCTACTCTGCTTCTTGGTGTGTTGTTGCATGGCATTGGTGCGCTGAAGATGAGCTGCTTGCTCGCCCGACCTGCGCCTGTATACGAGTTTATCTTGTTGGATGCAGCGTCAACGACTTTCTTGATAGTGCGATGCATGCATCTATGGCACTGCATTTGCAGATGCATCTGCCCATGCACTCACCTCATCCAACTGAATTTCTTTGAGGCAATGTACTGTAGCACGTGCTGAACTTTAGTTGAGCTTCCCTGCTGCTGGAGGCTCTGGTGAGTAGCGATCATGATCGAGCAGCACCTAAAGGCCTTGGATCCGTCAAGGCTGCAGGCAACTACGCAGCGGACCTCTCCCCCGTTCATGGAGCTCATGCTCAGGGCTACAACACGACGCTGTACCTCGATGCCAAGGAGCGGAAATACGTGGAGGAGTTCTCAGTTTGCAATTTCGTGGGCATCACAAAGGACCTCTGCAAGCACGCATTTGTGTACGTAATTCATTCCGACAGCGTGACAAGTGAAATTTGTTGCCAAGCAGGACGGACGCTACGTCACTCCGAAATCTGACACGATTCTGCAATCCACCACTAACATCATGCTCCAGCAGCTGGCACGGGATCGTGGGATGATTGTAGAGGAGAGGCCCATCGATTTCCATGAGGAGATCTCGAATTTCAAAGAGATTGGCCTCTCCACGGCACAGTCTCGGCCGGTAGCTTAGGTCATGTCCGCTGAAGCTGTTCAGCTTGCCCTCTCAGGTATGTGCGGCACTGCTGCCGTGGTGGTGAAGGTGAATTCAATTCGGCACGGAGACACTGTGTATGACTTCAATGATTTCGATGCTTGGCCAAGAATTCAGATGACTGACCTGCAAGTCGAAAGTCGAAACAAATAAGAAGATCAAGGAGGGGCACGCCCAAAGTTTCCCCAGCCCCGAGGACACAATGGCCAGTCTGCGAAGCCAGCTCACATCCATCCAGTGTCAGGCGCTCATAGGGCTCACAGCAGGACAGACCACAGAAATTCGGAGTGTCGCCTTGCCGTCCAACAAATGCTGTTGGGAATGGCCGGCCGAAGTCATTACTTTTCCAGTTGTGTCGCAGCGTGCAACACCACTTCTTGTCTGAATCAGGCAGCATGCCTCACATGTTGGAATGGAGAGCATAGACTTGTGCTGAGGTGGAGAGTTGGAGGACAAGCACGGCTGGATGAAGGAAGTGTGCGACTCTGTCGGCGACACCTACTCCGAGGCATGTGAATGTTCAGGTCTCAGCTGAAGTCTCAGCTGAAGAAGCTAATGAAAAGCCTTGCAGGAATTTCCGCCCCTCGTGGCATCTTTGGCCCCAGGCATGGTGACCGCAGAGGCCTCCGAAGCTTTGCCATAGCTGGTTGGTCGCTGCAATGGGATCTGGCATGCGTGTATGCAAGGGAATGCAATTCTTCTGCGTAAATGTTTCTTGTTGTGCCAGTTATGAAGAGCTCTCTGTTGATCCGGAAACCAGGCCAAGGGTAGCGTGCAGAAGCTGGGCAGCGAAGCCATGCATGGCTTGGAGCGATCCTTGCTGGAGCATGTCGTCAAGACTGCCCAACCCGGAAACCCAGAGAGTGCTGCTTGGACTTTCTTGGCGCTTCCTGCTATCGCTCTTCCCAGCATGATTTCTGCTTGCTGCCCTCGCAGCTCCCTACTGCTGCATCTTAACGGAGCCAGGTTATTGCAGCCATGGACGCCTTCTGGAACAAGACGTTTCAGGCCCAAGGAGCTAGCGTTGGCGACCATGGTACATGAATTCCTGGAGCAGCTATCTGCCACCCAAAAGGAGCAGAGAAGTGGAACGTGAGGGGTCAGAAAATCGAGGAGAAAGTCCAGGAGAAGGTGAAGTTGAAGGCCACAGTGGCTGCTTTGCCGAGTGACTGCACAACACTCGCAACGTGTTTATGGGATTCCGACGATTCCTTTGTGCCTCGGTGGTTTCCATGGGCCTCCAGGGGCCCAAAGCGGCAAAACACGCATATGGCTGGAAAAGGTGAAAAGGATGAAGCAGGCGGGAGCAATTTAATGGCTAGCACCAGTGCCGCATCGGTTGTGGAAGTGGAAGGGGGGAGGAGGGGGAAAGGGGGTCATTTTGGTCCCCCCAAAAAAGGGTCATTTTGGTCCCCAACCCGGACACCCCGAACTTTGGCCTGGACAGCCCGGACATGTGGCCCGGACAGCCCGGACCAGTGCGGACATGTGGCCCGGACGGCCCGGACACGTGGCCACGGACATGTGGCCCGGACGGCCCGGACATGTGGCCTGGACAGCCCGGACGGCCCGGACATGTGGCCCGCACGGACCGGACATGTGGCCCTGTGGCCCGGTGGCTCGGACGGCCCAAACATGTGGCCCGGACGGCCCGGACATGTTGGCCCGGACGGCCCTGATGGCCCGGACAGGTCGCCCGGACTGGACATGTGGCCCGGACGGCCCCGACGTGTGGCCATATGTGGCCCGGACAGCCCGGACATGTTCCCCGGACGGCCCCTGGTATTTGCTTGGAAGTCCGGGGTAGCTGTCTAGGCTGTCCGGGCTGGGGTTGTGTGGCAAGTGCAGGAGTCCGTTTCTTCGCAGTAAGGGTGGGGGGTTCAGATAGCTGAGGTTTGAAGAAACGTTAGGAGCTTTCATGGCTCCGTATGGTTCTGTTTTTTTGTGATGCATGATGAAAAGTCATTAAAAAAACAAAAGGTTAGGAGCATTCATATTGTCGTTTGGGAGTCCGGGGTAGTAGTCCGGGCAGGAGGCCGGGCTGTCCGGGCTGTCCGGGCTGGGTATTGTGTGGCAAGTGCAGGACTCCTTTTGTTCGCTTTCAGGGGGTGGGGGGG